ATTTTTTTATTACATTACGATTATGACAGACTTTAAATTTTATATAAATTTAAAAATATTTTAGTTGCTTCTTCTTCTCCATGCATTTTCACACCATCTTGAACTAATCCTGCCGATTGCTTTTTACGGTTTGTACGAACTTTTAAAAGTTCTAAAGCAATATTTTCTTCATCAATATCTCCAGATGAAAGTCATAATTTCGATTGCTTTAGGTCTTGCGTCATATTTGGGTAGGTCTTTAAATCTAGTTTATTAAAGAGCCCTTCAACCTGCTGTTGGTGGATTACGATGAAGTAAATTCGTTCTTTAACGAATTTATATAATAACTGATATTTATAAATTTTAGAGGTTGGGGTAAGACAAAAGTTTTGAAACTCATTCCTAAACTCTAAAGAACCTAATAATTCTTTCTGAAGGCCAAAAGTATTATTAGTTATCTCAAAATCGGTGCGTAATCGATATGCTAAGTTTATTTCACACTCTGTTGGTTCTACAAGTCACTGTTGAAAAACAATGTAATAGAATGCTCGGGCGAATTCATGATCTGAATTTTCACCTAAACTGCAGATTGATAATGGTAAATGGATCCACGGGACATTTATTTTAAAAAACTTTCATATGCTTTGTTCATCCCCTGTTCCAAATTGTCAAAGAACTCACTAAAGTCTTCATTATTTAGCAATTCAAGCGCTGTTAGTAGTTCTTGTCCAAAGAATGTGTCAAAATTTTCTCTGAGTTCATCTAAAAACTTTAACTACTTATTCACTTTATCCGGCATTTCATGAGCACGTCGGCCAGGTGGAAGTTGAGCCAGATGGTTTTCTTCTTGAATACGAGGTATGGGATCCCTTCTGATCATAAATTGTATCAAAGGCTCATATAAGTGCTCACCGAATGTAACTAAACACTGAACTTGAATATTTAGTTTTTCGTTTAAGAGCCAATCCCAAAATAAATGCCTAATTAGTGAGTATAAAAAACTTATTAATAGATCTATTTAAAATAAATATACAAAAGTTTATGAATAGTAATTAAAAATTTACCAATCGGAAAGATATACAGGTGGTGTATTTCGATTATTTTCAAGTTTCTTAATGAACCAATTGGCAAATTCTATGTGTGCTTCACGACAGGCTAAATATTGTTTTGTAGCAAGTAATTCATATCCCTAACGACCCCGAATTGACAATTGATATTGGGAGAAATGATACCTTAATAATCCATCATATAGTTTTTGAATCCAATCTGACTTCATATTGAGAGGTTTTCCTTTATTGCTCGAATTATATCTGTCGTAAAGATATCAAACCAAATATAGGAAATTATATGGTTGTGGTATTTGTGAGAATCCAATCGAGGAAGGTAACTTGCCAAACGCTTCTTCGAAATTTGAAAAAACAATATACATTATATGCATTCTACAACCGATTCTTACTGTATCTACATTTGCCTTCTTATTAAACTAAACAATCATGTCTTTTTTATTGCCCAATATATAGGCTGTATTATCTGTTACCCACGTTGAACATTTTTTCAGATCAAGCCCATGGATCATAATTACTTTGAGAGTGTTGTCTGCTACTGATTGACCAGTACAGTTATGTAAATCCTCAAGATTGGTCACAATTACTGATGGAATGTTTTTTTATGATCCCAGAACATTATACATACAACGAAATATTTACTTTCTCCGCGAGTTGATTCATCCACAAGGATTTTATACCATGAACATTGTGAAGCCTTATATATTCCGGCTTCAGTCTCAATTTGTAAGACTTCTTTATGTCAGGTACTTAGAGTCATTGCAGATAACTATCTTTGTGGAGGTTTTTTGATTAAGAATTCATAGACTAGTTGCAATGATTTAATAATCATGGTTAAAGAAGTTTGGCCAATTTGCAATATCTTTGTTGAAAGCCAAACCATTTTTGGTGAATATTCTCGATTATTTGTTTTAAATAATATACTAATTTGGTATTTGAATTCTTCATTAGGTATTTGCTTTCGTTTGCGTATTAATGACCTGATAGTTGAAATTCACTTTTCTACTTTATTTCTGAGATGCCAATTTGAACTATTTACGGACTGAATTTTATGTAATAGATTTTGATTATTCCTTAATAGTTTTCAGTTTTCTGATTTTAGATTCACATTCTCAGTTTTTAAAACAACTGAATTTTTACGACTATCCTAATATATTCAAGAGCTTTATTTTGGAGATAGACCGAAATAATTTTATTTTTATGCTTTCTTTTTGAATTTCACATTGATTCAATTAGATTGAACGCATTTTTTTTTTGTAGTTCTGGCATTTCACGAATATTATTAAAGATTTCCTCTTCTCGTGAATGATTAAGTGTATTAGTAATAATTTTGCAAATATTTGGACGAGATTCAAGATCAATTTGAGGTATCAGATTATAAATTTGTCAGATTTCATTACTTTGAGATGTCATGTACTTCATATGACATTTTTGTTTTGATAATTTTAGCATGTTTAGATAAAAAAAAACGATTGGATAAAGAAAAACGGTTGAATAAAGAAAAGCAGTTGGATAAAGAAAAGCAGTTAGATAAAGAAAAGCGATTGGATAAAGAAAAGCGATTGGATAAAAAAAAGGCAATTGAGTGATCGAAGCGATTTATTGATTGTACAATTTTACGATTTTTTGAAAAAATTTGTTGCTTTATATATTTAAAAATCATATAATCACTAACTATAAGTAATTTATTTATCGAAACAAAACTAAACTCGATATTATAATTTTGTAATTAGAGAATTACAAGATACTACAATCGAAGCAAAAACCGATATGAGACAATAGATGAATTACCCAATAAAGATTAGAAACAATAACCGAACTTAGCCAATAATTTTAGTTCGGTTGATCAGGTCGGTAAATTTGACAAACCCCTTGCTTTTGTTTATCGTTTATGATTAATGCATGACTGTTCTGGTAATTAGTTGTTTGTGTTCGAGTTTTTAAGCATCAATTGTTGCTATTACTGTTTTAGGTTATTAGTTGTTTGTTCGAGTTTTTAATTGTTGCTATTACTGTTTGAGGTAATTAGTTGTTTGTTCAAGTTTTTAAGCATCAATTGACATTATTACATTTTAGGTAATTGGTTGTTTGTTCGAGCTTTTAGATATCAAATAAATTAGATTATACAGTTTAGATAATTAGTTTGTTCGAGGTTTAATTATTATTCTTGTATTCGATTATGTAATTATGATAAAAAGTGTATTAACAAATTGTAGCTAGAGTTTGGAACTGATTTCGACCTTCGAATTTAAATCTGATTTCTTTCAGATCAGATTTAAATTCGAATATAAAACCAATATTCTGAATCTGCAATACTCACATTAACTACACAAACTCATAAAGAACAAAACTATTCTATACCAATAGAACTCCATAATGATAAAATAGTTTTCGTTCTTAAGTGATCAGAAGTTTTTGTCTCCAAGTATATGTATGTATATATGTATATATGTACATACAATGATGCTAGGCACAACCTAGGCATAACCGAATATTATCAAGTAAATTTGGAATAAAATCTGATGCATATTTTTATTAATTAAATTTAATATGAATCGAAAAGCGAAATCTAGTTCCAAACTCTAATCGTAGTATTGACAATAAAATAATATGAAATTATTTTATTGTATTAACACAGTATTTCTATATATAGTACTAACATTTATTCCATGGGTCTTATGTAACAACCTGTGCTTTTTTCATTTGGTTATTGCACAGGATTATACGTCAGACACTGTGAAATAATATAGTTATTGTATGGGTATATGAATAACCTGTGGCCTTCGGCTATGGTTATTCACTACATACTCATGCAATAACAAGTATAGATTTTCTCTTGAGCAAATAACTGCATTTATTTATCTTGTTAAAATGCCATCTAGATGCACTTGTGTATCCAATGCTAATTCAAAAGCATTCAATTCTTATTTCTCTCCCAAAAAAAAATCCATCTCTAAGAAAAATAGAAAAATACAACCGAATTTATATATTATTATTATTTAAAAACACTTAAACTATGAAAATATTTTTCTCTAATTAAAATTTATTCCCTGACACTTTTAGCCCATTGATTAAAGCGCTCTAAGTTCAATTTGTAAAAATATCCTGCTTTTTATCACATTCATTGCAAGCATGTGTATTATACAAATTTGTGTAACTAATATTAAAAACTATTGGAAATTAATAATTTTTTAATAAAAAACTTTTTTAGAAAAAATCGAGCTTTTTATTAAAATATAAAGTCTGTTGAGTAATTAAAGTAAAATTTCTAGAAAATTTATTATGTAAAGTTTTGAGAAGATATGATTTGAAATTTGATATTTTCTTATGAAAACACTATTAAAAGTTCTTGAATTTCAAATCGTATCTCCTCAAAATTTTGTATAATAACTTTCTTTTAAATTTTACCTAATTACTCATCAGACTTTATATTTTAATAAAAAACTCGATTTTTTTAAAATTTTAAAAAAATATAATAAAAATTTGTCGAAAATCATGGCATTTACTACAGTTTGCTGATTTACCAAATATAGGTAGCATCGATCACATCTTTTATGGTATAAAAATATTGATCAGATATTTCTAGACATTTTGGTTGCATAATATCACATGTTAATTAGCCAATTAAATTACAGTCTTGGCAAATAAAAATTTGATAATTTCGTAATAACGTACAATGAAAATATTTAATTTTTCAAAATTCTCCAAACTTTTAAAATAAATAGAACTCAGCATAATGACAACTTTATTTAATATACTAAGGTCGATTTACTTAATATAAAATTTTACTATTGTCATTTTTACATTTTTTTGCAAAAAACAAATACGAAGATATCTCGCCGATTACAAATCTGAATCAAATAATTTTTATACTATTTAATTCGTCTCAATGAGACAAATTGAATAGTATAAAGATCACCCAACTATAATTGATAGAACCTGAGATATCACTAATAATCTAATTTTTTATTTTATTAAACTTATTAAATTATCCTCATTAGTATTGAAGCGGGATATTTGAATTTCTTGACCAGAATCTATAAAATAACTCAAGAACTAATTATTTATAATGACTTTATTGTAATAATTAAATAAATTGAATAAAAATCAAGCTTAAAAAAATAATTATAATAATGTTTAATTTTCTTAGCTGCTATTAAACCATTCACATTTTGCCATTTTCTTTTTTCACAAAAACTTAACACAGTTTCCTTATATGCGTCAACCAAACTTGCGAATATATATTTAAGTTTCACTGTTTTTTCTTTCTGGTAGCTAGACATCAAAAAAAATATATTTAAAGGTAGTTTTAGTTAGTAACTTATCTCTTTTTATTTAACAATACGCAACAAAAATTGTAATTTTAAGCTCTCATTTACCTTTTTTAAGAACAGATTACAGGAGGGATTAAATGGGATTAAATAATATAGACGTTTAACACTATCTATTCGTATATCATTCAGTATTGAATGAATATAAAAAAATATTTAAAACCTCAAGACAAGTATGACGTACAAAGAATATCTGAAAGCTAATCAAATTCACGAAATTGTATGTCAATCATTCTAGAATATGATTTCCTAATTTGGTGAATCGGCAGACTGTACTATAGATCATCATCTTCATTACACGAAAAAAATTCACTAGTAAATTTACTATGAGACTATAAATCTATTTGATCTACATAGTACATTGGACACCCCAACGTACTACTATTAATATTAAAAACTTTGATTTTGTCAATTCTCAATGAACATGATATATATAATTTAACTTACAGATCCTAATAACAATAATACTAGTTCTATGTTTCAAAAACTATGTATATATATAGCAATTATTACTTTTTGAATCTCTAGCAAAAATGCTTAGTATCTCAAAATATTTCTTAATTTCCGTATTTTACTGTACGTATAAGATACTACCCGGGTGTTTGGGTACAAATCATTATTATTATTTAATACGTATATACTATCTTCATATAATACACCTACATATATATATATACAATATGCCCAATTAGAGAGCCTGCGCAGACCAGGCTAAACTTCAAAAAACTTAATATAATTGTGGCCAAATATGTTAAAGATACGTACGTTTGAATTGAGTATTACGTAGTAGAGTTGTTAGAACGTATTCATATATATTATTATATAGATAGAACTAGAGGTTTAACTCGATGAATAGTATATTCGAATATTCATTAAATATTCGAATATTCGAATAGATAAATTGTTTTTTACCAAATGAATATTCAGATATAAAAATTATTTAAATAATTCAATGAATATCGATATATACTATTTTTGATTGACTAATTAAAATACTGTTTGATACGTAGCGGGGACTTTCACATTTTTCGAAAAAGCATGGGATTTTTTATGTGGTAGTCAACCAATCAGAAACCATGTTGTCAGCACATGATATAAACTATGCAGCCAATCAACAGTCATAAATTCACATATTATTATTTCTCTTAGTATAGCAGACAAGGAATTAGCAGCAGGGAGGAACAGGAGGGACCGTTTCAAATAAGAAAATGATGATTCCGATCATACATATTGGTTTAGCCAATCAAAATTGTAAATCTTTATTATGCGAAAAGTATCACGTGCTAATTAGCCAATAAATTTTTAAATTTTTATAAAATGAAAAAGAACAGAATTTAATTAAAATTTATAGTTAAAATTCAAAGTAAATACCGTCAAATGTTATTATTAAGTAAGCAAAGCATGTATTGATTAATTTAAGTCAAGCTTATTAATTTTTTAATAGTATTCGTTTCTATTTATTTACAAAATCTCAATCATCTATATATGACTAATCCTACGTCTAATTTTACGGTTAATTCTATATCTACTCAGATTCCTAAGATCATACACTATACTATATATCTTAATTTA